TGACTTTGAGCATAGCTATTAAAAAGTTACATTATAAAAATCTGTTTTACAGTACCACAGATACAACTTTTTGCCATACATATGGTGACAAATGATTCATATACAAAATACATGTTTTTTAAAAAACTTTTATGAAATAGCAAATGGGATAACAGAAAAAAATTGACAAAAGAAATACAATTTCACAGAGGATCAAATCCAAATAGTTTATATGCATATGAAAAGATATTCAGTCTCACTTGTAATAAAGGAAAAGCAGTCTCACTTGTAATAAAGGAAAAGCAAATTAAAATCACAATAAGGTACTGTTACACAGTAATTTCATTTTCCACAATTTAAGAAGTCTGACAATTCCAAGTGCTGACCAGTAGGTGGAGGAAGAGGCACTGTCATGAGTTGCCTGCAGGTGGAATTAATCAGTACAACCATTAGGAAAATAGTGTTATTTGGCGAAGTTGAAGATGTGTAAACTGTATGAGCCAGTAATTCCCCTCCTACATATATATTCTAGAGTATCTCTTACACATGTGTAGCTGGAGACCAGTACAAAAATGCTGCATTTTTCTTAATAGCAAAACGTTAAGCAACCCAAATTTAAGTCAATATAGCCCACCACTATATTGGATTAACAATTCAAAATTGGTAGAAATGATTAAGGAGAAATCACAAAAGAGATTTCACATCTAATTATCATGTGAATAAATGTTCATTGAGTGAAACAGTTCATTTTCTTCTTATATTGCTTATCCTGATGACAATAAAAACCTAAGGAATTGATTTTTGATCTAGCATGTCTAACACTGTTCCATAGTAGTAGCTCAGTAATGCATGTTTATTATGACATTGGCAAATGATTTACAGTTTTTACTTCACTTAAAGTCAAAAGAAAAGTCACTTTAGATCTAGTTCTTCTTTTATGAAACTTTCCAATAGATAAAAGGAAAAGAGAAATGTTTGTGAGGTTACAGTAGGCACCTCTGATTTCAGACCTTGGTGGATTCAACACTATAGTATGCTTTATGCACTGCAATCTCAAGGTTAATTTTTATTGCTTTCTCTCTCTTTGTCGAAGAATAAAACAAGAAGCTCATCAAAGGAGTATTTGTCAGTTTTAAAATAAGTCAATAGGGAAGTAGAATTTATTTTTCTAGTTTATTTTATTTGGGAGGGATGGGGAGTGCAGAATGTAATACGTTTGTTAAAAGAGATAGAGACTGTTGCCTTATTATTTCCTGGGGGTGGAGCTATAAAACTTTGAAGGATCCAATGCCATTTTCAGTTAATGATAATTTGAAGAATATTGTCATGAGGAAGTCTGTACATCTTTTGAAAAATTAATATGGAAATTAATATGCTTTACTATGTCTTTGCCTTTTATGCCCACTTGCATGATCACATTTAAAGTCTTAATGGAATCTGCAGTCTATTGATAAATTAATAATTCCTATCCTACCAAGAGTATGTTAAGTTTCAAAGCTGTAATGACTAAATTACTAACAGGAAATATGAGCTCAAATTCTGTTAATTGTTCTGTTAAATGGCCTTGGTTATGTCATATTCAACACATTTTTTCTGCATCAATGAACAAACCACTTAACTGAATAATTAATACAATTGTTGACACAGGGCCACTTTACAGATAACATCAATAATCAGAATATCTCATTTGCTTTCATTGAAGAAGATAACATTGAATTGAGTCTGTAAAGATGAATATACATACATAAGTATAACTGAATCACTTTGCTGCACACCTGAAACTAACACAGTTTCTATACTTCAATTAACTATACTTAAATTAAAAAAAAGATGAATAGAAACTCAGCGTTAAGAGAAAAAACTGATAAACACTGTAAACAGAATTATGCTTCAAGAGGTACAGCTTTGTGACAGAGAATGACATATTAGGAAATAAGTCTCAACATGTAATTAGATTAAAATGACTGTAACATTCAACTGACTGCTGGGTTCTTGGCCTTCATGCCAAGCGAAAAACTGCCACAATGAATCAGAAACACTATTCAGACATGATCTTAAATTCCTTGAATTTCAATTGTCTATGTACCAAGTGGAGGTGATCAAATTATGTGCTATCAGAGCTTTGATTCAATGCCAGATTGATAGTATATTTAATTTGTAGTAAGCTCTAAATTCTTTATATTGTAAGATGATCAAATCTTCAGGTTTATAAGATCATCTACCACATTACCATGATCTTCCAGCTGCTCAGAGGGCTATATGCATAAATTTGTAAGTCACATTAAATATTCCATTTTGACCTATGTCTTATATTTCTCTCCTCAAAAATAATTATTTATTCTGACATAGATACCACACATTGTCCTAAAAGTAACCACCATTTGTTGAGTTTTGCTTTATGCCAGTGCTGCTTTACATGCTTGTGGTGTATATTCTTGAAACCTTTCAACAATGTTACAAGGCATGTTTTTATTTTACTGATGAGGAAATTGAAACTCAGAGGAGGTAAGTAAACTGGCAAGGTCACAAAAAGAGAAAGGTAATTATTTTTTTCTTTCAAATGTGTTTGGCCAATGCCCATAACTTTGCTTTAGTCCACCCTGCAGTGGCCCACAGTGAGGGGTCTGGGAAGAAACCTGAGAAGCAGAGGGAAATGGTGGTTCTACAACGTGCCGTGCTCCAGATGATGCTAGAGTCAGAGGTCAGCCACAGTCCTCTGAGGGTCATGTGAACTGGACTGATGTTCAAGAACCTTGCTTCTCTTTCTTCTTCTGTGTCAGCTGTATTAGGGCACTGGCTGGGTGGTTCTGTGCATGTGTAGGTTTTGTGGCCCACTGAGTAGATTTCTTTGAGCTCTAACCTGCTGTTCTGGGTGCAAGTCCATCTGATCTGTTCATGACGGCCCTGATCATCTCGTTTTCTTTTCACAGGACTCCTAAAAGTAAAAGGCACACCCCTAATCATCTGCTGCTACCATTCTGAAAGCAGAGGATAAAATGTTTCCACAGAGGTACCACACACAGGTGAAGATAAAGTTCGGGATGTGAGCTGGTGGAATTAATAAGGCACTTGCACAAGGGCTCTGTTTTATGGGAAATATAGAATAAAACAGGACTCTAACCTTGTAATTTTTCTGTTCCAGCAGAGAAAACATTTCCCCATCTTGCTATTACAGAACCTCCATCTCTCCTCTCTCGCACATCTGGCTAATTTCTGAAAGTCTCTGGAGGATATCTCAAGAGAACTCTCAAATAAGTAATCATAATCATGGAGTGGGATCACCCATTATTCCTTTTCTTCTGCTCTGGCTCCTTTGCCCAGGAAACTTCTGGCACTGCTGCCATTATGGTATCCTGCTGGCTTCTCAAGTTCAGCTGGCAATACTGTGTCACACTGTTCTAAGACTGATCTGCTTATGCAGAGAACATCTCTTTCCTGCCATCATCAACCTGTGACCATCCTTTCAAATACCTGTCTTCTACTTCCTACCTTATTGTTCCTAGTGGAGGGCTGCCTTCTTCTCCAAAGACTTCTAGACAATTTAACATGGTGCTGACTCTTGACATTTATGCTTGCTCCAGGACTGCATTATTATCTGTGAGAGCAAGCCAGAGGACCAATGATAAATGCAGACCCAGATCTTCCTCCTCCTCTTCCAATCATTCGTGTCTTCCCTCTAGTTATGTAATAAATATATTTTGGTTCTCTGAAGCTTTCTAGTAGCAATCTGGAGAAAATACCTAAATCTGCTTCTTCTTAACTGACAAACATTAATAGTAGTTGCATTTATTGAATATTAGCCAGTCCTGATACCATTTTGGTTCCATCCACAATCTCCAATTCCCCTTCTATAACATAACATTTGTTAACCTAATCAAAATTGCTTTTGGCACTGAAATCCAAATACCCTGTGGAAGCTGGAATGATAGCTCCCCAGTGATACCCTTGTCTTAATCCCCAGAAACTGAGAACATGTTATCTTCCATTTTAAAATGAGCTTTACAGATGTGATTAAATTACAGACCTCACAATGGAAAGATTATCCTGTGTTACCCAGATGGACTGATAGAATCACTAAGATTCTTACAAAAGGGATGCAGAAAAAGTCAGAATCGGACAGAAGGTGATGTGACAGAGCAGAAGGACAGAAAGTGTCAGGTAAGGAGAAATTTTCCTCTACCCTTGTAAGTTCCTCTGGCTGATCTAAGATTTAAGTTGACATAAAACTGATTAAGAGAAGAAAGTCAAACAAAAGTTTAATAATACATATCATGGGAGAGACGCAGGAAAACCAAGTAAAATGGCTAAAGCCCTCGCCTTAAATACCATCTTCAGCTAAAGACAAGAGAGGATGTTAGGGGTAATGGTTTGAGACTTCAACGGGGGAAAAGGCAATTTACCTGGAGATGGAAAAGCAAATGTTTGGTAAACAATATTTGCTGGGCCTTGCAGAGACAATGGGACACAGAGTGGACTCTGATCTCAAGGCCCTGACTAGAGTTTCCCCCATCACTCCTGGCCCATTTTCTTTGCAGATATCTCTGGTGATATCTCTTATTATGAGAACAGGTCCTTTATCTAAATTATTTTAGGCAAGTAAGAGGGAAGTAACAAGAAAAACTTTTTGAGCCTTCTGTTTATTAAAAATAATCGGAAAAGAGATACATTTTGCTGCCCTAAAAAAGAGACTTGAAGAGGCTATGTTGATAGCTTTGAAGATGCAGGAAGATGGTCGTGAACTATGGAGTATAAATGGCCTCTGCTAACTAAATCGATCAGAGCAATGGAGTCCCCTCAGGCCTCCAGAAGGAGATAGCCTTGTGGACACCTTGACTTTAGCCCAGTAGAACAAATTTTGATTTTCTGACCTCCAGAACTGTAAGAGAGTAAGTCTGTGTTCTTTAAAACTACTAAATTGGTAATAATTTGTTGCACCAGCAATAGAAAACCCAAGTGCTGGGTATTCAGGGGAGGGGGAAAAGGTTAAGGAGTAAAAAAGAAATCTAAGCAAGAAATTTTTGTAAAAAGCTTTATTTTCATGTTATTTGTAAAAAATACATCAAAAAATATTTAAACTTCTCTATTCCAAGAGAGAGAGAGAAAATCATTGCATAATTAATACTACACAAGGCATTATGCCTTACAAGGAAGACATAAAATGTCCAAGGGATATTCAGAATACTGTCTATTTAAAAGCTTCAGCATCAGAAATGTTGACTACGTGCTATGAAACTGTTTCAATAAATAGCAACTGACAATCTTCTCATCAGGACAGATAATAATGTACACATACATTCCCCTACCTTAACAGTGATCTATTTGCTTGGATTCCCCCACTATTGTCTCCAGCCTTTACCAAAGTGAATGGTACAGTATGGTACCCCCTAGCCCCCCCCAAAATAGTTTAATGAATGAACATTTAAAACATAGCATCTTCAAATTAAATAATAGAACTGAACTTTGAACATAAAAATTATCTTTTTAAATAACAGTACAGAAAATTGCCAAACACATTCATATCTTTAAATATTAGATAGAACATCAATATACAAGCTTTGAAAAATAAATAAATACATACAAATAAATAGAAGGACTCTCATAAGAAATAGCCAAACACATTAAATGCAGTCTAGGTGGCCCCAGTAGCTATTCCTTTCTCTTCATTCACTCCAATTCCACTAGGGCTCAGCAGTAGCCAGCAAGCTTCCTCTTTCTCTCCAGATCAGTTGGTGCTGCCCCTGTGATGAGAAAATAGTTACTGTTAGTAGGACTCAAAAAATTGACCTCATAGCCTTATACCAAGTAGTTGCTACCTAGACCACTGCTGCCTTGTGTGGCAGAAAATGCCAGGCTCCTAGATGCCATTTAATTAGGAATAAGGAGCCTGTGGTCACAATCTTATTATTAGCTTCAAAAAAAAAAACAAAACAGAAAGCAATGGATTAAAAAAAAAAGTACATGCATGACATCATTTAAGCGTGATAGCAAATCCCGTGCAGTCGCTGCTATTACTTTCCCCATGTTATTGAGACTTAAAGAGTTAAATACTTTCCTTGGGGTTACAGGAACAATAAAATGTGGAAACTAAACTTACGGGGTGGGGGTTGGTTTTCACTGCAAAGTCCTCTTCACCACTAAGCTTGAGAGGTGTGTGTTGCTCAAAACCAAGGGTTCTACTTTTCAGGTCTGAAACCCATAGGAGACAGACCTAAACAATATCTGTTCCTTAATGCGTAGGCAGCAGCATTTTAGCATCATTGGCTAAATCTACTTAATCTTTCAGGAACATATTCCTGAAACACATTCACTGGGGATGGAGAGGGGGATGAGGCACTGGAAATATCCTTCTGGCGCCAGAGCAGATTCATGACCTTAACAGCAAATTTAATTGTGAAATAATAATGATTTTCAGCCCTGCAGCTAAACCCTAAGTTTCTCTGATACAGTTTTCAGAAGGTAAGATGTCTGTATTTGTAACCAATTGCTCTAGCCGTACGTGCAAATATAAACCATAACTCACTTGTTTAGCATCTTGTCGACTATTTTCTTAACCAAGGGGGCTTCGGGGTTGAGACAAACTTCCTGGCCATTCTTGAGAGTGGCTCTGCAGAGAGAGGGGAGAATCCACGTGAGGCCGGAGATGGGGCTGGGGGTCGGGGAGGGGGGACAGGGAGGGTAGCGGTGACAAGGACCGCAGCAGCAGCGGCACTTACATGACTTCCGTTTGGCCACAGTGGGGTCCCGGGGGCGTCACCGCCAAGCTCTGGATGTTCTTGAAGTGAATTCCCTGCACAGTCTGCAAGCAGTGGCAGCGCAGTTCGGTGACCACGGGCGCCCCTGCGGAGAGAGCAGACTCGGTTAGGGGGCCGTCCGGGGATGGGCGCCCAGCCACCCGCCCCCCACCCCGCCCCGGCGATGCCAGGCGCCGCGTCTCACCTGCTGCGCGCCGGCCGGCGGCCACCAGGAGCAGGAGCAGCAGCGCGGCGCGGAGGAGCCGGGGGGCGGCGGGGGTCGCGGTGCGGGCCATGGGGCTCAGCTCGGAGGGTCTCAGTCTGCGGCTGTTGGGCTGGCAGGTCGGACTCTGTGACTCCCCGAGGCGGTCGAACGCCTTTTATCCTGATGGGACGGGAACCCGCAGCCCCGGGCAGGGAAATCCCCTGACGCACGGGTCGTTCCGGGTGCGGAAGGAAGACGCGGCCCCGCCCGCCCCACTCCCGCACAATCCGGGGACCCCGGGGTGTGGCCTCCCCACGGGGGAGTGAGTCGCCGTGCGAGATGTGGTGTCAGACCTTAGAGACAGGTGTTGTGATGAACGTTAGTTATTAAGATTGGGGGAATTAAGGAGAGAGAGGAGGGGAAAATCAGAGAGAACTGATTTTCCATGTGTTAGTTACGCATTAAGAACCTTGGGACTTGATTTTACTCATATTTGCATAAATACAGTTAAAATACATGCCACCTCAAATTATACATAAGGAAGTTCCCCTACTTCGTGGTATTTTGCAAGCACGAATAAATCACACTTTGTGTCATATCGTCTCGCATTGGTGACGGGATGACAAATATCAAAAGTTTAATTCAATGTTTAAAATAGAACATAGCGTCGTGTTGTAATCCTACCCCTGTGAAATTCTGGAACTTCCAGAGCTCGAGTAAATCCACGAATACCACCTTTTTGGTATAGAGGGTGTTGATTAATCCATGAAATGAGGGGCTGGTGGTCATTTGGAGCTGTTCTGAGAGGGACAGCTGCGTTGGGCTCACAGGTCCACGGTTTCCAGTTTTGTCCAAGCACAGAATAGGTCATAGGGACCGGAAGCAGTTGTCTAACGTGAGTAATAGCGCCCTTTGCTCGTCTAAGCAGCAGAAAAACGTGCTCCTGTAAAGTGTCTAAGAGCTAGATCATGAATCTAATTTCATTTCCTTGTTTTATGGCTACAAATCTTATTTCATTTCCAAGTTATATGGACTTTCCTGCTTCCAGTGATCTGATTTCCTCTCTAGAGAAATAATTACAGTCATATTTTATTTGTACTGCTTTCTAATAAGACATTTCAAGCTGGTAACTGGAGCCTTTGTCATTGCGTAGTTATTTTTCATTCTTAGTTTTAATGTCCTTTCCTGGATTATACTCAGATAGGTTTCAGATGGTTTAGGAGTGATTCTGGATGCAGATCTGTGAGAGGGGTGGGGATACCCACCAGGTGAAAAGCATGAGCAGGGAAAGGATGCTGGAGAGGTGGGTGAAGGCACAGACAAGGACTCTGCCCCATATTCCAGGATAGGAATTTCAGTGCTCCCGATAACTGACATGATATTTAACCTGTCTGTGCCTTAGTTTATCTGTAAAATGGAAATTAAAGGTACTTTCCACTTCAACAGGTTGTTATGATGAATAAATGTGTAAACATTTGAAAATATCAGTACATATTAAAAGCTATAAATAATAAATAAATTAATTAAATAGAAGTTGCTTTTCCATATTACTAAACTGAAATTAACCTGGGGATAAGATCTTCATACAAAGAGAACAGAATTATTGCAAACAAAACAAAACAAAACAAACAAACCCCCACAAAATCCTACAGCATAAAATATTTATTTATTTTTCTTAAGAGAAAACTTAGAATGTTTTGTTGTCTAGTTTAATTGCTGGGTAATTTTATAATTCTAGTTTTAGTCATTTCAACTACAGAATGTGAATAAAGATAAAAATGTCCTATCTTGATTATTAGAGATTGTGAATGACTAGATTATGAATAAAGATTTGTCTTTACATTTTATTTGTCAGTAATCATCTGTACAAGTCCTGAGAAAAAGAACAGACTATGTATTTATTTTTTAAAAAGGAGTAGGAAATGCAGGATGACCTAAAGCTTATAAAACATGAGTTATCTCAGCAATAATTGAGAATTTGTTTAGATCCTATTGGTATTCTTATTTTGGGGGGATTCTTTTGGAAATACAATTGAATCTTGAACAACGTGGGTTTGAACTGCACAGATCCATATATATGTGAATTGTTTTCAATAAATATACTGGAAAATATTTTGGAGATTTGTGGCAATTTGAAAAAAACTCAGAGTCTAAACATGTCACCCAAAATATCGAAAAAATTAAGAAAAAGTTTTGTATGTCATGAACGTGTAGAATACATGTACATTCTAGTCTATTCTTATATAGGCATAAGGTGAGTAATATTTAATATAAAATTAATGTGTTAATTTTCTTACTGTTTTATAATTTTGCTTTCAAAGAATTACATTACCCTACAGCATGCCTTTCTCTTTCTGTTGGAGAAACTGTGTATCATCAGCCTGTCATCACAGGTAAATTTTTGAAAAAATGTTTCCACTCCTATGTTATGAATTTGACTGTAGTACTACAGGTGTAAAATTTTTATAGCGATTCATTTATTAGTGCACAGGCTAGGCTACCATGAAGCAATCGCATCAATAATACTAGGGTACCATAAAACAGCCCCTTTCCTTCTTCATTATCAATGCATTAATCGAATCATTTTTTCAACGTCCCTAGTAACTGACATATTTTATATGCTTACAAGATGCTGAGTAACCATGAAGTGCTGTCATAAATATCACTTTCATGTAACAGACAATATTCTAAATCTCTTACGTATGTATAAAACCCACTTCATTTTCTCAGCTGCCCCGTGAAGCAGTTACTGGTCTTTTTTCTCCAGTTTTTCTCCACAAGGAAACTAAGCAAGTTGCCAAGTTTTCACAGTTAATATAATTTCAGATTTGAGCTGCAGGCAGTTTAGCATTAGCCACTCCACAATAAAAAAAAAAATTCTGGATACAAATGAGAGATAACTTCAGAAGAGCAGTTTTGTTTTGTTTAAATATGTTCGTTATCCTCATTGGTTGAATAGTTCAACTCCACCTTTCCAAAGCTTAAAAATAACAAACTGTTCAAAAGTCTCCAGTGTTTTATTTTACTAACAGTGAGAATCTTCTTTTGTGGCATGAATATTATCAACTTAATTTTAAAATCCATGTCTATTCGTCTATTTGATTTTCCAAATCAGTGGACTTCACCTTCAGAATCGGGTCAGTGGGAATGAAGATTCTACCCTTAGAGCTTGCCAGAAGGGACACTGAGCATATTAATCAGCTCTTATTTACTGAAATAAGAATCATAGTTTTCTGCTGACCCAGTTTGGGTCATATTTTAATATCTGAAATATTTTGCCTTCAGCATTCAGGCTACTCAGATGTTTTCTCTTTTTATGACTTAAGAAAACAGAGAATATTTGCTCTAATGCTTTCCAGATCTAACCCAGAGTATTGGCGTAAACCAGTACTCAGGGTGAATGAATAGAATGTCAAAAAATTTACAGTAGTAGCCAAAAAGGATGAAACAGTTCAAGAAGCAGCCTCATATTTCTAGAATTATCTATAACTTTATGCCTAAGACTTATGTAATAAACATCAATTGTTTATAAAATTAAGTACAAAGGAAAGGGTTTTCTTCTTCTTTAATATATCAACCCACAAATTTCAATCCCTGTTGGCACCCTATTTATTTTTCAGAAAATTTAAAAAGCAGCGATGTTCTGAAACCTACTAAAATAATCCAATTCTTTTTTGCTTTAACAAAGATCTTCCGTAACTAATTACTCATTTTATGAGGTGAACGGCAAATGTATACGCCCAAACTTTCAGCTAATGCAATCCCCAAGTTTAAAGAAATAGAGCTAACCCTAAAATAAAAAGCATTGCTTGCTAAATTTCATTTTCAGCTACCGTATTTACTGCATCTTGCATATTTGATTGACACTGTCTAATCTGCCTTTAGAATGTGGAGTTGCTGCTGCATCCTGAGACTACAGAGCTGCAGGAATGAGTAGTGCCGTGCCTTATTTTGTTGCAATTACTACTTTGGGTAGAATGAGTCTGACTCAGAGAGGAAAAGAATAAAGAATAAAGAATAAAGACGTTGGATCCTTTCACTTCTGAAGTCCAGAGTGTTTCATCCAGTGTCAATGTCATCCATGTGGTCCAGTGCACTTGTCTTTTCTGCTTGCCTTCAGCCCCTTCTTCCTTATTCTGGTTACAAAACCTTGGCTTTCCTGTGGGAACCATCTTTTCTTCCTCCCAATCGAGGTAGCTCAGGTAGGGTGACCCTGCTCCAAATTTTCAGGAGTGAGCTGATGTCCCAAAGTAGAGTCAGTCAGTCCTTCCAGTCTGGGTCCAACTCTCAGTCACTCTAGGGTACAGAAGTGGGTGAGTGACGTAAGTCTGACCAAATCAGAAAAATCCCTAGAGTCTTTTTTGTCAGGACATGGTTGGAAAAACAAGCCCTTGATTCCTTCTGGGTCATTATATCTGGCAGAACAGAAGCTTGACACTTTGCCAATGCTTGAGGAGATCTTGCCTAAAATGAAGCCAGCTCTGGGAAAAACAGCCTGATCTGGAGTGAGACTGTCACTGCAGAGAAGTTTTAAACTGAAGCACTGGGCTTTATCTCATCTCAGTCTTTTAGTTTCACAGGTCAAATGATCCCCCCTCTTCATTTAAGCCAATTTGACTTAGGTTTTTGTTACTGACTCCACTTACTGCTAGACTTATCTTACTAACAGAGGGTGTTTCAACTCAGATTTAATTCTTTTCTTTCTCCGTTTGTTTCAGCATTTTTAGTGATCATTTTTTCTGTAATTTGTAAGGTGGGAATGAAGTTTGGTGTCGGGGATATAAAGAGGAATAAGACACTCTGCTAACCTCTAACTCTTGATAGAGTAAGAGAGATGAATATACAAATAGAAAATGTTTAGAAAGGCCTGGTAAGTATCATGGTAAATTATTCCCAATGTATTAGGAGCGAGTCCCGGTACAACTCTTATAGAGTAGGTTTATGAGAGATGTCAGAGAAGTTTTCCTAAAAGAGGTGCTCACTCTTGAGAATCATAAGGATGAGGAGTTTTCCTGTTAAATGGGAATACTGAGGGGTGGAGAACATTCTAGGAGAGGGCAAATTAAATACTTGGACAGCAAGCGGCTCCTGCAGCTAGAGATCACTCTGTGAGTAGGGAGAAGGGAGAGACAGTGGCAGGAGAAGGTGGCACAGTTTGGACACTGGAGGCCCGTAGGATCCTGCTTGTCTGTTAAGACCCAGTTTGGATATTGCCTCCACTGGGAAGTCTCTACATGCATGTC